TATCTATCTATCTATCAATCTATGTACCTATCTGTTTGTTTATTTATCTACCTATCTAGCTAGGTACCTATCTGTCCAATATGTATTAAAAGAATGTATGTATATATCTGAACATGTATATGTATTTGCAGATGTTTATGGTACGCGACATTGGACAACGCTTGGAATCGCCCAAAGATGTTCACGTTGAGCAAACCAGGTCTTCATCTGCGGCGAGTCATGGAGGCTGATGCTGTGAACATCGCGGTGGTGCCCAGCTCAGCTGCTCAAAGAAGGTCAAAAGTGTAGGGTGAAGGGTCCGAAGGCAGGAGTGAGGTACGGTGTACAGGATCAGAAGCACCGACGAAGCATTACTGCCCGAACCCTGCTTGAGGAGCTGCTGAAGCGCATGGAGGCCCGCGTTGCGTCTGGTGAGACGGTCGGGTCTAGCTTTTTCTTCGTGTCTGTGTCATTGGTTCTCGGTGTTTGCGTGGCCTGCAGCCCCATGTGATTGCAAGGTGCCCACATCCTCAACAAAAATCCGAATACACCTTCCTACACCCTGAAGCTGAAGGTCAATGTAAGCTGAAGGTCATGCACGCAAGAACTGGGCACGGAGGCACACCGCGAGGTGGTCGCTGCCGGCTTCGTTCTCCTGGCCATCGTGGCAGAGGAGACCCGAAAACCGAGGTCACAATCCACTCAACCCTCAAGCCCTCAACGCTTGGGTTTACGACTGTGAACGGATTTGCGGGTAGGGTAGGTACACAGTTGCCTGAAGCACAGGTTTCAAGACAAGCCGCAACTAACACATGAACAGCAACCGCGTTTTCCTGTTCAAACGGTGCACAGCACTTTTTTCACGACGGGTTCGCGCTTTTCAACAAGATTCTTTTATCATTCACGATGTTGCACGAACATCATTTCAAGGCTTTTCCTGACAAAGTTTTCACATTTCATCCAAAGCCAACATACACCAGTCCTCAACCGAGATACGTTTAGCATCAGTCGGGCTGACTCGGCACTGAAGCTTTCAGAGTTTGCTGGATGTTCTAGTATCAGGAGTGTGTGCTTGATGCATTCCACCTAAACCCGAACCCCTGAAATCTTAGATCCCTAAACCCTTAAAACCAAAGAGCCCCACAACTCCTACATCCCCGAAAGGTTTATCTCCCAGGAGCATGGCAATCTCGACGACGAGACCTGGCGCCTGGCCGAGGAAGCTGCGAAAACGTGGCCCAAGGAGGCACGGTTTAGGGTTTAGGGNNAGGGTTTAGGGTTTCGGGTCCTGGCCAATCACCGAAGGTTCGCTCTTTTCTGGCTCTCAACGTTGTCATCCGTCTTGTTGAAATATGACATATCAAGTCGTGATGGCTTTGAATTCCAACGTCCGCGACTGTCTTTGCAATTACTGGCGTCGTCACTGTCATCACCAACGGTACTCGTAGCCGCAAATACTCATGTTCATTGTCATTACCCCTACTGCTACTGCTGTGGCTGCTGCAGCTCCTCCTCCTTCTCCTCTTCCTCCTCCTATTGTTGGTCGTGCTACTGCTACCTCTAGCACTGCGACTGCTGCTACTGCTGCTAC